CATCCATCCATCCTTCATCCATCCATCTATCTATCTATCTATCCATTCTTCATCCATCCATCTATTATCTTTTCTCGCTTCTTCCATTTTGGGTTGCGGGGGTCACTGGTGCTCATGTCCAGCAATCACTGTGCCAGAGGTAGGGGACACCTGGACAGGTCTCAGTCTATCACAGGGACACATGGACATGTCTCCAGCCCATCACAGGGACACCTAGGGACAATTTAGAATTACCAGTCAATCCCCAGCTGGGATTTGATCCAGCGACCTTCTCACTGAGAGGCGGCAGCTCTACGAACTTAGCCACCGCGGCGCTGCCACGTGTGTCACCCCATCAAACAATAATTACTCAGAACACACAACAGTTACTGATTCTTCTGTCAAGAGTAACATTTCTTCTTTTTGAATGTTCAGACTTTAATAAACAATAAAATGGTTTTAGTCTCCTACAAGAACAAACTACAGGATCAGTCTGATCCAGTCCCACCGCTGGGTTCGTTCTTCTCTTTGATCAGTGACGTATCGAGAACTTTACAGGAGTTTTTATTTTCACGAGTCGTTAACGGTGTGGATGAAAACGTTTGGTCAGGGGGAGGTCGAACGACACACTCTCTGCAGCAGATGATGGACAAGCTGCTTCCTGTACAAACTGTAAGGTCTTGTCTATTCAGTGCACGTCTACCTCCACAAACACAGACGCGGCACTGCACGTGCACACTCACACTCACACTTGTTTTCTATCTTTGGCTCAGTGTGGATCTGAGCTTTACCTTTCGTTACCGGTGCCCTTGATAAGGATCTGTAAGGACGAGAGTAAATTGGCTTGGCAGCGCTCCAACACCTCGTGCAATCTCCAGCTCGTCTCCAGAGATCAGCAGCAGCTGAAGAGCTGCCGGAGCGCCGGCTGATCGCACGCTAACAGGAGCACATGCTGAGTCATAATTGCAGTGATAAAGCAGCTGAAAAAAGCAGCGTTGGAGCTTTTTTTATTTGTTGAGCTTCTATCCTGTTCCTGGGGGGGGGGGCTGGGCTGCAGAAGCATATGACTAAAGATGAGTTTAGCTGCTCCTCGGCCTTCTGACATGAATCATAAACAGAAACATGTTTTTCTGTCAGCAGGGCCTGAATGTTGTCGCATGGTTTATCTGGCCACCCTTCAGCTCCGAGTCCTGAAGCTGTTCTGGGACTGGACTCTTCTGAGCTCAGGTCCCTGAGGTCCCTGAGGTCGTTCCTGGGATGTGATGAGCGCTCCGATGACCTCCGGCACCACTCGGGCCTCGAATCGTCACATCTTCATTTCCTCCTTCCTTCCATGCTGGCACCTCTGTAGCTTCTTGTTCTCTCTTCTTGACGTCACCTCAGATCATTGCATCTGTGGACCAGCAGTCTTCTTGGTTAGTCCTTGATGGACAGTGTGGACTTCATCACTAAACCTTTTCATATTAACTGCCATAAAGATGAATGAAGAAAAATTAAGTACCGTCATTTCTGGACAGTAGAGCGCACCTGAGTATGAATTGCTCGCACTAAATAAGTGAGTCAATGAATGAGACTACCTCACTGGTTCATTGTGTCATCATGTCAGCATGACATCATGTCA